GGCACCCACCTAACCCGCGAGCGGTCACCCGCCGCCCGGTCCGGTTTCCTGCCCGCTGCCTGCGGGAAGCGTGCCACCGACCGACCGAGCGGGAGAGCGCGCCCTCCCGGCCGTGCGTGTCCTCCTGCGGGGCCTGTCCTGGGCGGCCCACGGGCTCCGATGCCCGGGAGGGGGGGCACCAGGCGGCCCTTACCCACCCTCCGTGCATTTGCCCTGCCGGGCTGGCCGCGGTGGGCATGTTTGAGGGTAGCCGCGGCCAGGCTTCCAGGGCGAGCTGGGGGGGGGGCGAGGAGGACGTAGGTGAGGGGCGGCCCCCTTCCCCGTTTCCTCCTGGCCGGAGTCCTTCGTGGGAGGCCAGGCGGAGATCGTGGGGCTGGCCCCATCCTCACCCAGGGGACTTTAGGGCCAAGGGCAGATGGATCAACCCCAGTAGAGTTGACAGAAGGCATGGGAGCAACCCAGACCATCAGCAGAGAGAGAGAGAGAGAGATGGACGCCTGATGAAGGGAAAGAGGGGGGTCCATGACTTCTGGCCCCATTTCTGCCTCCAAGCCAGCCTTCAGGCTTCACAGAGTTCTTCCTCGGAGGGGAACCTGGGGTGCAGGAAACTGTGTGGTGGGTTTGGGCACCTTTGATCAGGCCTTTGCTAGGAAACACCACAGGCATCAGCAAAATGATCAGCAGTGTCATTAAAAAAATGCATACATACGGTTCAGAAAACAAAGAGCCATGACTAGAGATGGGCACGAACCTCTGGAGGTTCGTGCAGGATTGTACGCGCAGCATCAGAGGTGCCACATATTCCTTTTTCCTGGGTCCCTGGCTGGATCCACCACCACCACCAGTGGGCACGTGCGCCTCTCCTCCTCCTCCTCCTCCTCCTCGGGTCCCCTGGTGTCCCTGCCAGAGAAAGCCGGTTGCCGTAGCAACCCCGGGATGGTGCCTTCTGTCTGGTGGGCTGTTCCGAGCACCCGTTTTGGATGGTTATTTTTGGCTGGCTCGGCTTTCAAATGGGTCGGGGGCCCCTCCATCCCCTCCTCCCCTAGGATCTCGGCCGGGGGGGGGCCCTGACGGGGTGGGATCCCGAGGGGCTCCTCCAGGCTGGGCCAGAGGAGTTCTGCCGGCGA